CGTGGCCGGGTTGGTTTAATTTTTATTTTTCCGCTGAAAGTTTCCTCTTTTTTTTCCCCCGTTGTAGTTGCTTCCAGTAGCGTTGCAGGGTGGAAGCGTGGCTTGTAGCTGGGGGATGTGAACGTGTCCGCTCCTCCTGCCTGTGCTACACCCGCTCTCCATTGCTCCTCATTTCTACCTCCGGATTTATTTGTGTGTTTACGTTATCTTTTTACAGCCCCTGCTGAAGATGTTTGCTTTGTAAGGAGCTCGGCGTGTGATCACTACTCCCCGGTTAAGCGCAGTTTGTGAATGGGATCTTGTAGGGCGTCTTCCCGAGCTGTGATTTATTGTGTGCAAAGTGGAGCCCAAATATAAATATTTAGGTCCAAGTCATAACTGATGTGTCTTGTGATGAGACTGCTGGAAAAAAATCTAAACGACACTGATGCAAAACTCCAAGTGGGAGGGAAGCAACTGGTTTATCTGTTTTGCTTCTCAGTGGTGCACTAGGAACAGTCTATTATGACATCGGCACAGGAAAATAAGGCTCCGTATACGTGACAATGTAGATTTGTGTTCAGCAGTAGTGTAGGAACAGAATCTGTATTTACGTTGAACAGTGGGAAAGGAAAAAACCTAAGTGTTCATAGTTATTGTACTTCTTTGTTAAAGAGGTGTCCAAATTAAGAATTATGTTGACATATCCTGAAGAAGTGGTGGAGCTGATTTCTTCTTACTGGCACTGGTATTTACTGTTGTATAATGCTTACCTCATTAGTCGATATAATGCTCGAGCTTTTTTGTGATGATATTCTTCTTTTCCCCTTTCACTGTAGTCTTGATTCTGGTTTTTGCCCTGCAAATATGCCTCAAATATGTTGTTGAAACCCTTTTCCCTTTCACTTGGAAAAAGGAGGTGGCACTGGTGTCTTCAACTTGAAGACTGGATCTTATCTGAAAATCCCTGAGCTCACGAATTGTCATCTTAGTCTTCCACGTGGACAAGGATGTCTTCATCTCTCAGTAAAATGAGAGGGAAATTTCCACTCAGAAATGGAAAAGCTGTATAGAGTGGATTTAAAATTGAAAATTTGAAGGGAAAAATATCTAATTAAAGGCTTTGCACGTAATTTGTCTTTAGTGGGACTAGAAGTTCTCTAATTTACTGTGCTTTGTTTAATCTACCTCAATTTTTACAAATAGCAATCAAATTGTGCCATAAATCTGAAACTGTTTTATGCTTTGTTCCCTCAGTTCAGTATTACAAAGCAGCTTATACTTTAAAGACTCAATTAAGTTTATAGTTTCCCTAAACTTAAAAAGGGCCTTAAGTGCTATGGTAAGATAGTAACAAAATTTTAGTTTAAAAAAATGATAATTGATCAGGTCAGCGGCTTACTAGGCAGACACAATTACGTATATTTAAAGAGTTATTGAAATCTGATCAGCATTTTAAAAATATTTAATACCAATTATTGCTTTTGTCCTTGAGGTCTGAGGCTTTGTTTTTCTTTCTTTTACGCTCAGGATTTCCTTTCTATAACTTAGATTCCTCTGTTATTTTGCCAGGGGAAAATGTACAACTTTACATTAGCAGAATTGAAAAAGATGCTTTTTGGTTGATGGTAAGAGTTGTAGATGCGATGGATGCAGAATATCATAAGTACTGCTGCCAAAATTCTATCCAAACAAATATTTCTTGGAGAGGCAGAAGAAACCCTGGAGGAAATTAATTTACAAGTGTTTTCTTGCCCTCCTTTCCCAAGATTTTTGAGCTATATCCCATTCCCTGTGTCTCAGAGGTGTGTGGTTCCCAGGAGGTTTGGGTTTTTTCATTCTGTTGGGGTTTTTTTATTATTATTATCAGCTATTTAGTTTGTCAAGTTATTTCTTTGAGACTAAATGACTCTTGTGTTCATGCTGGAATGCTTCTTGACACTCTTATGTCAACTAGAACTTTTGCCTCTGTTCCAGATATGAACAATGACCATAGTTAACAAGCCAAAATCTTCAAAATCAAAAAAATCGTCATCAAGACGGTCTGACAAATCTAAGAAACCCCGTACTAAAAAAATGACGTCACGGACCGCAAATTTGGGCCAGGTACCACCGGCAGAAGATCCAAACAACGTCTCTGTGGACAAGGGACCTGGAGGTGCTATTTACTGTAGATCATCTCAAAAATCTAAGCCTTTTGCCCAAAGAGATCTAGGTAAGCGTGTCCTCCCCTCTTTTTCTTATATACAAAACAGAAGTAGGATGTGGAGTTCTTACTTGTTGCACAGCTATTGAGTGGGACTAGGACAAGTAGAGAATTCAGCAGCAGGCTTCAATTTTGGCAATCCTTTAAGGCAACTGAAGAGACTGGTGTGGCAAAACCTAGTTTTATCTATTTGCAATCTATTTGTAACTTAGTTTTGGGTCTATTTATAATCAATTATGCGGAGCTTTTTATAATATGCTGTTCTAGGTCTTTTCTGTTATGCAGAGAAAAGTACATTTTACAATTGCTATTCATGGCTTCCGTTATTCACAAGTCTTTGCATGATAACACTGCTCAGGAAGAGACCTAATATCTGTAGGATTACCTTCTGTGCTAGTTACCTGCCTATTTTTCTGTCATAGTTCTTATTGCCATTCAATTACAACCGTAAGCTTGTGGTTTAAGTTATAATAAGGAAAAAAAACCCACAATAACTGAATTAATTATCAGATTAAAGACTATAGATTGAAAGGAACCTGGCAAAAGTTACTAAAATTAGAGTGGTAGTTTGTCTTGCATTAAAAGAATTAAAAGACGAGAATAAACTGTTGTCCAAAACAGTGTCTTGACCAGCAAATTAAACTGGCAGTTTTAAAGCTGTATGTCATATATTTCTGTGGTTTGGAGAATAGCTGTTTCTTCTGGTTGCTTCTGCAGGATGCTAGTTTTTAAATATCCCTTTTAAACGAAAACTAATACATCTCTTTTAAAATAAAACTTTCTTGCAGTTGTTAATGATGGAATTGCCCCACCACAGAGGATTCTCTTTCCACCTGAGAAAATTTGTATGGATTGGCAACAAAGACTAAGTGTTGGAGCTGGGCTGCTGAATGTCGGCAACACGTGTTTCATTAATTCCACTCTACAGTGTTTGACATATACACCTCCTCTTGCGAATTACATGCTTTCTCTTGAACACACCAAGTCATGTGAGTACTTTTTAACATCATTATAAATCCGCTGGACAGCTCTGAAGGTGAAAGAACAACTGTGACGAAAACTCTTAGTTGTCCTATTTTTATCTGTAGAACCTGGCTTTGAAGATGATCTTAAAGGCCTTTTCCAACCCAAATGATTCTGTGATTCTATAATGATATTAACGGGAGGCTCAGGATAGCATATAAAGTGCATTTATTCATGTAATGCACTGTGGTGAAACTGTAAGGAAAAAAAAAAAGATAATTTCTTGCTTCAAGTGAATAATGAAGTGCATTGTAAAGTAAGGCATTTGATGAACATTTGGCATTTGAGTTTCCTGCTGGCAGAAGAAGGATAAAATTTAGGGTGCTGGCATCATAGATTCTCCATCTTTGCAGCCTCGATACCATAATGCACTAATACTGTGGTAAATGGTATGTTCACTGTTGACCCATTAACAAAACCCCAGCACCCTAGAAAGCACTATGAGCTAATCGCTTATGAATTCAGACAGAAATTCGTGTGGGACTACTAAAATTGAGACCGATTTTATTCTGAATAAAAGTTTGTATTTTTTAAACCCTTGAATTTGTATTTTTTGAATTTATTTAAGCCTAGGAGCCTCTTCTTGTATTCACAGATCTGTATTTTTACAAAGGCACCTGTATGCTTTCTAGTCTGGTATTTTAGTATTTATTCCTAGAAATTTAAGCATGTTTTCTTACCATATATAAAAATGATTTCAGTTAAGAATCCTGTTGAAAAAAGGAGGGCAGAAATACTAATACATAAGCTACTTTAATCTTTCATTTCTCCCAGAGGATTCTTAGCTCTGGGTCATGTAGCTCACCTAAGAGCAGTGTGCTGAAAATAACACACATTCTCTCTTAGTGCTGTATCATCAATGTCAATATTGTTTCCTCATATATTCTGTAGTCTGTGGAGTTCACATTCCTGTCAGCCTGAAAAAAAATAATAAAAGACGTTGCAATAATTACTTAGATTTCTCATCAGAAAATGCACTTTAATGCAGACTTAACCTTTTTTATTCTACACAGTTCTGTGTAATAAAATGCCACAACTCTTTTGGGATATTGACACCATAGGAGAAGATAATGTAATATGTAGACATAGTACCTTTAACTTAAAGGTTATTGGTTTTTTAGGGTGGTTGGGCTTTTTTTTGTAGCAATGTGTCCTTGACTAGACTGGGCTGTTTTCTTCTTTCACTCTTCAGGTAATGAACAAGGCTTCTGTATGATGTGTGCGTTGCAAACTCACATTAACCAAGTCCTGTGTTCTAATAGTGCCATCAAACCTACATCTGTTATCAATGGCGTTAAAAGTAAGTAATTTGGGTTTATTTTTGATATTTTTTTCAGAGAAAAAATAAATTATATGTATATAATTGATACTTTAAAGAAGCGATTTTAGAAATGTGAGTTTTATTTCATTTTACATATGAGATAACCTTCTTATTTTCCAGGAATAGGAAAAAATTTCCGTTTTGGCAGTCAAGAGGATGCCCATGAGTTCTTATGCTTCACTGTTGATGCTTTGCAGAAAGCTTGCCTGAATGGAAGCAATAAGTAAGCATAAACAAATTAACTTTTAAAAGTTATCTATCCTATCTTACATCTTTATTTACTATCATAAATTAAAATCTGTGTCCTTGGTTTTTGTAAAATGAAAACCTGTTTGAAGAGTTAACTCTGCCTCTTACATCTTCTGAGGTCTGATTCTAATTTATTTCCAGATTGGACAGATCTTCTCAAGCCACCACACTTATTTCTCAAATATTTGGAGGATATCTAAGATCCCGAGGTACTTTTTAAAAATCATACTGTCCTTTGAACTGGTTTGTGTCTTTTTTTCTGTCTGTAGTAAAGGAGTTTGTAGTTTGACTAAAGTGATATGTATTACTAATTTAAATTTGCACAGTTAGTCTCCTTCACATATTATTAAGCATTTGTATTTTTGATTCCAGTAAAGTGTTTGAACTGCAAAGCAGTTTCGGATACGTATGAGCCGTTCTTTGACATTACTTTGGATATAAAGGTAAGATATTTTGTGAATGTGGGTTGAGAAGTATAAAAACTTGTAGAGCTTTCTAAAATACAGTCATTTGACTTAAAAACATACTCTTAAAACAAAAGAGTTTAGTGGTGGATGGGAGTGGATTGGACTTTGTTCTTCTGTGGAAGGTGTGTGGAAGGTTCTGTAAAGGGTCTCCATGTTTGCATTGGATTTAAGCTGGAAAAATAATAATTCTGTCTACACAATGATACTGTCATGCTTCTCGATTATTCTACTTCAATATACATCTGTTATTAGACTGATGGGTTTGGTTGTTCTCATTACTGATGCCAAAGCATAGCATAGATGCTGTCTATAGCACTGCAAAATTTATTTATTTTGAAGTAGAATCATTTTCAAATGAGGTAACTCTGTTTCTGCCTCCGTCGCCACAGTCTTTGCTGGTTCACAGTACGTCACCTAAGTATGGACTAGCAAGGTTCTCTAACAAAAACTACTAGTAAGTGTTTGAAATTTTGCATTTCCAGTGATTTAATGCTCTATTTTCTTACTTATCTAGGCAGTTACATCTGTCACCAGAGCTCTAGAACAATTTGTGAAACCAGAACAACTGGACGGTGAAAATAGCTATAAATGTAGCAAGTAAGAATATTGCTATTTTTATCTTAATACAAGATACAATTTTAATGTATTGCATAAGTTATCTTTTGGCTTCGGTTAGAAATAAGATGAGACACATCTCTCTTGTTCTTTCATTTGGTTTTGTTTATACATCTGATACACTGAAATCATGTAAGTCTTGGAAAATAATATATTTGTTTCTAAGTGAGTAATTTTTGCATTTCTGTTTGAGTATTTGGAAACATAAGAATTGTGGCCATTAGCTCGCATTGGACTTTTATTCCTGGTGTTGTCTATTCTGGGGCCTGTCAGCCTTTTTAAGTATGAATTTGCACACTGAAATACTCATACGGCCAGAAGTGAAAAGTCGTGTTCCACAAGTAGTGGTGAGCTGAAGCACCAAGCCATGGGCAATGGTTTGGGGCAGGAGGTGACACCAGCTTCCTGAAAGTCCTGCTGTTTGCCGTGAAGGAAAGTGAGGTTGGGTCTCAGTGAAAGTGAACACACTGAGTGATAATTAACACTGGCAACCTGTGTGGGCTCGTTGAACAATGTCTTGCATGGTTCTCAAATTGTAAAACCTGGGGACTACTGTTGTCGGAGAGCAGCTGTCCTAAACTTTAGTGGAAGTGCATGGAGTTGAGAAGGTTTACATTTTTGGTGCAACGAAGATGTGTTCAGATGTTTGTTTGGCTATCAGAAGATAACATTGTAAATCCCTTATTCTTTGTTCTGTAGAGCTGTCCTCTTATATCCTGCTATCTTCTGTTAACAAACCTGAAATGCAGTGTATGGATTTATGAAAAGAAAAAACATTGTGCAAGTAAATATCATTCAAATAGCATAAGCATGTGTGAGAGCTGAAAACTTGTTTGACTTTTGGGAGGGAAAAGAATATACTGTTAAACATTCATCTGTGCTTCTTTGTAAGGTGTAAGAAGATGGTTCCTGCATCAAAGAGGTACACGATACATCGTTCTTCCAACGTTCTCACAGTATCACTGAAAAGATTTGCAAATTTTACAGGTGGAAAAATCAATAAGGTATATTGACAACTTAATGCACTTTTATCTTCTTGGAATGGGAAATTTCCCAAAGATGAATATTTATTTTAAAGTTGTTAATGTTTGGAGGAAATAATTACAGACTAATAACTGTAGCCTAAGAAAAGTCAATACAACTATGGCTTTTTCTTTCTTTTTTAATAAAGTTCCTGCCTTAAGAACATACTTTACTCTTAAAGAGCTAATTCTGTAGAAAACAGTTCCCTGCAAGTGAGATGTTGTTCATGAGACTAGGTACTTGTAAATGAATCAAAAAATCACGTTCATATAATGCTAGTCTGTATTTTTAGAAGTGTTTTTCTCAGACTATTTTATGAAGTATTTCAGGGTAATTTTTTCAATCTTTTTGGTCTGTGCTTAGGATGTAAAATATCCTGAATATTTGGATCTTCGAGCATATATGTCTCAGTCGATTGGAGAACCTCTCATCTATGCTTTATATGCTGTTCTTGTACATAACGGTTTCAACAGTAACGCAGGACACTATATCTGCTTCATAAAGGTAAATACCAGCTTGCTTTCCGATAGGGTAAAATCTGTGCTGACAAATTAAAATGTTGCTGGTAACCACTATTTTTAGGGGAAAAGGTTGAGTTAATATGTTTTGTTTGGTATGTTTTGTTCTGTAGTGTTCTATCTGTGATGACATTTGGAAAGCGTGCAATTCATCTAAAGATATCATTGGCTTTCTTTGCAGGCTGGTAATGGACTTTGGTATCGAATGAATGATGAGACAGTAGAGCCTTCTGATATCAAAAGTGTTCTTGATCAGCAAGCCTATGTACTTTTTTATATCAGGTAGTGACAAATACTAAATGTGTTCAGAATGTATTTACTTACCTGTTATATTTTTCTTCAAGTGTTTTGCTTTCTGTCCTAGGAAAAGATTACTATTTGTATAGTTGAGTTCCGTCTAACCTGAAATTCCCCATGCCATTTATTATCTTTCATTGCTTGTCCTTAAACTGCTGCACTTGTGTGTACATTGATACATCTGATCTCCGTAGCTGGCTAATTTAGAGGAGAGGAGAAATTAAGGCCATAGAAGGTGTAAGGATGAGTTATTGCTCTGAAAAGGATATTAATTGTAGGAAGACCATTATCTAATGTTCAGTTTGTTGTCTTGGTTAACTCGTCAGTGTATGTCTTCTGTGTCGTATGAACTGTTCCTATAAAATTATAGGATGGGGTTTAATGCAAGAATGGGCTGAAAAACTCTAAACTAAGATCACTGCTCTTTTCCCAAGGCGTTATGATTTGACACTTGGAGAACGTGCTTTTTACTTGCCAGCACCGTCTTATCCCCGTTCATTCCTTGGTCAGCGAGGGGCTAATAGTAAGCAGCCTGGATTTATGGGACCACGACTTCCTCCTCATATGATTAAGGTAATTTGAAGGGGACAGATAACAGCATCAAACTGATAGTGGGGTTTGGGGTGGGGTTTGGTTTTTTTTTTAACATCTGAGTTTTATTTTCCCTCCCATACTACAGCTTTCTTCACAGCCCTCATGCTACAGGCAGAATTATTCAAACTGTGGCTAAGCCTAAATGGTGCAGACATGCTGCTTTATCACTTTCTATTTCCAAGCCATCTTTATAAAGAACTGAGAGTTGTGTTGTGCTCTTGAGACAATTTAAGCAGTCTAATGCTTAAATTATTTTTTTTTAAAAGAGTAAAGATTTCCCCCCCCCTTCAGTGTCACTTTAGCTGAGGCTAAATGTGAAAGTGAAAACTGATGGGACTCATAGAACGTTCTTTAAACTAGCTGTGAAGGCGGAAGGAGTTACAACCAGATCAAATGAAAACGACCCTGGGATACACATAGTGACATCAGAAGCAGAGTCACTACCACAGACGAAGTACAATTGTACTTTATTGGAGGCTCCAGGGGCCCAACTCAAATGCCTTTATATGAATGACTGCAGCTTGGGCAATAAACAAGAGGAGCTGGAGATGCTTGTGCTACAGACCACCCAATCAGGAGGACCAGGTGGACGAGGCCCTTCATAGGCAGATAGGAGTTGCTGCTCATTCACAAGCCCTGGTCTTTATGGGGGATTTTAATCACCCCGACATCAGTTGGAAAAACAACACAGCAGGGAACAAGCAATCCAGGAGATTCCTGGAATGCACTGATGATAACTTCCTTATCCAAGTGATAGAGGAACCAACGAGGAGAGGTTTCATGTTAGACCTCATTCTCATCAATAGGGAAGGTCTGGTGGGTAATGTTGAACTCATGGGTAGCCTTGGCTGCAGTGACCATGAGATGGTGGAGTTTGAGATCCTAAGGGAGAAGTTCAGCAAGCTTGATATCCTTGATTTCAGAAGAGCTGACTTTGGCCTCTTCAGGAACCTCCTTGGTAGTGTGCCGTGGGATAAAGCCCTGGAGGGACTGGGAGCCCAAGAAAGCTGGTTGACTTTCAAGGACCATCTCCTCCAAGCTCAAAGGCATTGCATCCCTAGACGGAGGAAATAACACAAAAACACCAGGAGATCTATATGGATAAACAGAGAACTCCTGGATAAAATCAAATACAAAAGGGGAACACTCAAAG